AAATTCGTGAAAGGAAATTCAAAGTAAGTCACAGTTTGACAAATTATTGTTATTATTGACAAGGGCTATCTACCTGTAACTATCTGTTAATGACAAAAAAACTCATTGCCGCTGTGCCTTTTTATCAAAAAATTGTAGAAGAGAACTTTTTTAATATCAACATTTTTCGTAATTTGAAGCAAAGATCGCAAAAATTTTCAATATTTTTCTGGTACTCCCCAAGGGAGCCTCTATCACCCCTTAAAAGGAATGACGCCAATTTTGAATCACCCTGTAGAAATGTTTTTCGGGCTTTGAAGCCGTGGTCCATGGGAATTCCTTCCTGAGGTTTCGTCCACAAGTGCGGTGGACATTATCAAAGGCGATGAGGCAGTGGGCGAAGTGATCTCCCGTGCTTTCCGACTTTGATTCAACTACTGGATCCCCTGTCGTATTTATGCGGGCCGGACGTGTGAGCTCATGCGTAAGGAGTGGGAGCGGCTTCAATGGTTTTGGCGCACACGCTGTTTGCCGCAAAACGCGTTTCCAATCTGGATTAAGTGCCGTTACTTCTTCTTTCCTATTAAAATTGTTGTCATATTTCCTTTTTTTTTCCTCCTAAGAATTCCTCCTTTAGGTATTGATCGGTAATTTTCTACATCGGTTTAGTCCCCAGTTTCAAGCAGAGGTAAAATTTTCGTCAACTATTATCGACAAAATTGACAAACCTGAACTCTTAATTAACTTTGTAATTAAGTATCAGATCAGTTTAGTCAATCAATTTAGATCAGTTTATTCTTCAGAACCATTCATCATGACAACACCTTTAATGAGGGGAATACGGAATAGTAACTAAGTAAGTGGAAATGTCTACAAGGCGCAGTCGTAGGACACGAAGCGGTAGGCAAGCGTGTCCTTGGACTAATTCTACTGTTTGCAAAAATATGCCTCGGTGCCTACTTTTACCCCTACCACCTATTTTCCATTGATGAATCCCCAATCGATAGAATTCAATGTTGGTCGCAAACAAATCGGGATTTATAAATGACTAGCTTGGTCTTTTATTTATTAATGTCTTTGGCACCAACACGGAAACGATGCGGCATCGTCGAGCAATCTATCCAGTTGCAGCAGTTGCAGTAACCATTTGTCAACCGAACATATGTTTAGTTGCGAGTTGCCTTGATGATCTTTTTTTAAAAGGGTATTTCTCTCAAGAAACTTAGCTCGGGAGTTATATACCCATAACCAACAAACTAAGCAGAATGTACACTTAGCAGCATATGATATATGAGCAAACTAAATACATAAATACGATCACAGTTGAAATGTAAAATAACAAACGTTGTAATCAGAATGTGCACCTGCATTTAAGCAAGGTGGTCATTTTTAAATATAAATTCAGTCAGAGATGAAATAAAAGTTATTTGAATAGTAATAAACGTAAGGTCGACATATTTTTTGAAAAGTATTTCTTGGTGGTACCAAAATTAACTCGGGTAATACTTCGTGCAGGATTGCCAAACACGCATTTCTGTTTGTTGTTATTGTGGATTATTTAATGTTATTATTTAGTTTTATGTTATTAGAGATTATTTTCTAAAGCGGGTGCTATCCTAAACGTGCGAAGAACTAGAATCAGGAAAAAGCATCTGCAAACAATTTTATTCTTAAATGTTAATTAATTTTTTTATGAAAATTAGATTTTTAAACATTTTCGCATATAAACCGTATATTTTATTTAATCACTCTAGTTTTATTATTATCAGTTTTTTTGTTCTTTAAGTAGTTACTTCAGACCCATGTTTTGTTTTTGATTGTAGAATATTTTATTTTAAATTTACTATGTTAAGAGTTATGTTTTGAATAAAGGAAATCATTATGTATCCTCACTATTTCTACTCTCATCATCATTCTGCATTTTTAATGAAAAATTGAAAAAGTAACATGTTCCTTTTGGAACCGCATTTTCACAACCTACTACCAAGGTAACACTGGAACGTTGTAACCCGTTACACAAAAATAACCGTTCATCACACCTCTACTTAGAATTTTTTACCAAGTTTTCATTGACCTTGAATGAAAATGATGTTCAGCAATTGGACTGTTTTCAAACAATAGAAGGGAATAAGCCAGGACCGGATTGTACTTTTTATTTGCGGTTGGTAAAGAAATACAGAGACACAGCCGTTTTTTGCACATTGTACCAGATGATTGTTTAACATTAATTACCCGACATTAGAGTTAGCCAATTGTGATTGAATAGTAGCTGATTGGTAAAAATTAGCACAAGGAAGAAATAAAAGTAATATGTAGTATTATCCTTTGTGTGCCAAGTGTCAAAGACACTAATCCCACCGCCAGCATAATAATTATATGAATATTCTGGACTAATACCATCTTCAACAAAATTTAATAACCATCAAAGAATAATCATAATTTCAAATATAGCATAAGTGTTGAACAATAAAGAGCAATATGATTATTGACTTCTCCAAATAATAATTTTTCTAGTTCCATGTGGTTTTCTTAAATTCCTATTAATAGTTTTTAAAGTATAAAGTATTCTCAACCTAGCATACAACTTAATTAAGTAATAATAGGGAAAATTATAACAAGGATGTATAAATGCAACAACGTTAAATATATTTACAAATTGCAGAATAACTCTGTCTTTTGCTATGAGTGCCGAAATTTTGTTGAAACGTTATTTCCAAACATGTTATGTAGTCTACGAAAGGTTTATTTGGCATAAATAAACTACCAAATTTTTCTGAAAGGTCGTAAGCTCTCAGAAATCTGTATAGAGCGGTATCGTCCAATTCATCAAACTCATCTTTAGCGTAAGGTTTACACAATTCACAGGTATGCACTGCAAGACATTTGTTCACTAAATAGCCACATACTGGTAAAATTTTGATGCACAATATCGGAAGTTTGATAATCCGTAGATAACAATTTAGCAGATTGTATGTTGACATTGATAGATGTTTTATCGGTTTGAAATCTTCGCACATCTTTGATTTTCAATAAAATATCAACATTGTCTATTTCGCAATTTTCTGTTCCGGAATGAAACATATTGAAACAAAAGCATTTCTTAAACGCCCTTGTAAACTGGATAGGAGTAGTATTTATGCTGTTCCCTCCTTGTTGTATTACCGAACCAAAAAAATGTTCCATGCAATCTTGGTTTATTTTTTTTTATAAAAAATTTAATTCAAAAGTTTGTAGAATTTCTCATAAATGTATTACTTCATTAATCGTTGTTTCCCAGCCGTGCAAGCATTTTATTTGTCTCGTTGAATTGTCCCGTTTCCAGTTTACAACTTGTATCTAAATTATGAAGAATTCATAGCATTCGAATACGAACTGCCTTTGTTCATCTTTGGGTTTATGGGTTTATAAGCTTGTTGATATTTCGAAGGAGCAAAACTGGATGGTAAATTTAATATATCGAACAAATTATTAATTTTTCTAATAAATTGTTCGGTTTCTTTTGCTTCTGGTGGAAGTTCGGCAAACCTAATGTTCAAATTCATACCTGTGGCGACTGTGTTGCTGAAAACTTTGCTTGCGTAATTTACTTTCATTTTTTTGAAATGTCCAGGGTAAATATGGGAATCAGTTAATTTGGGAGCGGCTCGCACTGAAAATTGTTTATCATGTTTAAAAATTGTTTTCAAATAGTCCCATTTAAGTTCCTAAGGGACTTCAACAAATGAGGAATATCAAATAAAACACTATTTTTTTATTGCAAAAGAAAAATGGTGTTTCTTCAGTCACATTCATCAATTTTGCCATTTGAATATTATTTGATCCCATATCAGATACCACACCTATCATTCTCATATCAATATTATTCAGTTCTGCTACGATATTCAAAATATCTTTCAG